ACCCCAGCTCCTCCCCCAGATAAGCCAACCCGGCTGGTATAGAGCATACAATTTAATTGTAGAGCGGTCTCCCGCCCTTTTCTCGCGCTCGCCGCCAATCGTCCTATTTGAAAATACAATTAATAGCTCGTGAACCGATGTTTAGACGGTATCTGAGCGTTCACGTTCCGACTAATACTTCGTGCTGTGGGTAATTACCGTTGAGTGATTTTATTGGTGTTGAATTTATATTGTTTTGTGTTCCAACGATCCGCCGATAGTTGGATTGGGAAGATCACGAAGGCTCCGGGCTCGGGGAAATCGCTGTTTTGGTACACACCGGAGTGAAAGGGTGAGGGGTAATAGTTGTCACATGAGATTGTAGATGGAAAATTGTGATTTTGAATAACAGATTTATAGTCCTCAAACTTTTTTAAGCTGTTTTCTAAATTTACGAATGTATTGGGTGTAATTGTAATTTTATGATTTTGGCAAAAACATTAATGGTCTTTTGACTCATCTGTTGAGTAAACTTTTAATTTGCGTTCACGGGAACATTGGAAATGAATTACAATGTTCATATTTCAATGGAAAGATATCTAAGATTCTCATGCCTAATTTTTTTTCGATCGTCTGATAAATATTTTAATTTTCTTTAAAATGGCGAATTTTCCATAAAGGGATTAAGCTTTGACCAAAATCTCATGGTTTGACCTAGACACGGGACCACTTTGCTTTTTTATGTTCCCAGAGGCCATAAACGCCACTTGTTCAGATTTATTTGTATTTATTTGGGCGTGGCCGTTAGCACGATTACTCAATAAAAATCGTCCGATTTTGGTGAAACTTGGAATGTTAATTTGTTTTTTTACGGCAAAATTTTACTAACTAAGTTAAATACTCGTTTATTATTAAAAAAAGTTTAAGGAAATCGCCATTTTTTGGTTGAAACAGAGTAAAAGGGCTCCGAATCTGGTTGACACGTTACATAATTTAGTTAGGCTATGTCAAATAAACATATTATTGATATGTTTTGGGCAATCGTCATTTTGGCACATAAAGGAAAAAGGAAAACGGGTTGCCGAGGAGGTTTTGGAATTGTCAAATCATGACAATCCAGTTTTGGGAAAATGTCATCTTGCTTTCAAAAATGTGATTTTAGTTTATCATGCACTTATGTTATATGCAGATTATATGTTAGATGCATATATTATAGTTTTAGTATTTTAAGAAACCGCTCCATTTTTATGTTATAGTCTCAAATGGATAAACCACATTCTAGCATTATAAACCCCTTGAATATGAAATATATAAAACCATAGCTAATGTTAAAACAGATTTTCAATCTTTTACACTGGTCTATTTTTACACAAAATAAAAAATTAAACAAACTTTACAAGAAGCTGAACACCCTTCACTAAGCTAAAGACCCTATAAGACTAGCATGATATTTATCCCCACCTTCTCTTACAAGTCAAACCATTTCGCTCTGGCTGGAGCATTATATCTCTGTCTGCATCAATTGTGGGATAAATATCTTTAAACTCTGTAAATCACATCTGTCGCAAACACTGGTTACGATTAGTAAAGGTGCTGGAAACAGCTCACTTAGCCAATGTGGGTGTCTGATTTAGTTGGCACAGATAACTGCTGCATGTTTCTGGCTTGGTTGGGTCGAATAGCTGCTGCAAGTGTCTGGTTTGGATTGTTCGGATAACTTTTACTGTATTTGTCTGTATCGGCTGGTCCAGATCACTCCTGCTGTGGGTATCTGGTTTAGTTGACAATATTCTTCGTTATTTTCTGAGTGCAAATGAAACTAGATAAATCCATCGATATATAACTCTTGTAGTTATATAACGATGGATAAGTCAGATTAGATTTTAGATGCTACTTAATGCACAAGGGTGGAATAAATGCCATCGACGAGTAAACGGAGAGTCAAACTTTAGCCGTCTTATACGACGATCACTTGATTCTTAAGTTACGAATTTGAATGGGTTGGTTATATTTTTGCTTAGGATATTTTATTTGTATACTTTTAATTCATCAATGTTTTCATTGGAATGACTCTGATTTCAAATTCCTTCCCAAATCAGAACTTGGTCCCGGTGTCACTTAACTTAACAATCTTACTTGGTGAAGACAAAAAAAAAATATTTTTGTAATCTTACTTGTATCTAGCCGTTTCTGGTTATAAATTTAAAACCTAATAATTTATTTATTTACCTAGTTATTAGTACAACTAATTTACCAACCTTTGTTTTTTTCATGTAATTGTATTTTGAAAATGTATTTATTTGATGTACCCCTTTAGGGCAAAATCAATAAAAGATTGATGATGATGATGAAGAAATTTAAAACCTGTAACATCCCAAAAAGCTCTGTACACGATGTAGAGCTTTCATTGTTATCTAATCTTCTGTAATGTATGAACAAATTTATAATTTAGCTAATGAAATTAAGGTAAGAATAACTTTAGGATCGTCCCGATATGATGTGGCTATTAAGCTGGCACAAACAAAATGAAGTGTGGAAAAGAAAAAGTCATTGGGTTAAGATGCTCAGGAGTATCTACAGGGGCGATAAGAAGGGTTGAACTGGATGGATGACAACATCAATATGTTCAACCCTTAGGGACTCAAACACCCAGTGATTTATAGTTACCCCCTGCCTTTGCTAAAACCAACCTCTCAAGTGTTACAGCTCATTTTTGACAAAAAATCAATTTGAATTCATATATCATAATAGTAAAATTAATAAATATCATGAGTGAAATGCATGTATTTCATTTTTAATTCAAGAACTTATTGGTTCATCGCTTAAAACTTCAATCAGAGTCCTCTGATACATATGACATGTTTTAGGTTATTTAACTAATAAGAACCAATGTTTTGCTGAACACATTTTAACAGGACAACTGTTTTGTGTAGGTAAATTCGTGATCATACTCATATTTGCTTATCAGTAGTTTATATTTATATGGCACAGAGAAATTTTACACTTTACAGTATATGCATGCATTGGTTCGATATTATTAAAGGGAATGAAGTGGGATTTTGTATGAAATTAATTTTTTGTATACATTTTTCATTCTTGATGCTAAACGAATTATTTGCATGTTTCTCATGACAATTGTATGCCTTCTAAATATTTATATTAAATGCTGGAATCATTGAACAGTTTTAATTAGAGTGGAGGGAAAATCAATTAACTTCAAACAACCATATATAATAATACTACAGGAATAAATATTTATTTTCTGCGTGTATTCTGATATTACCTGATAACAAAAAGTAACATAATCTTCTAATACAAGTCAGTCATTCTCATCTAATTATTTTTACAACAATCGAAAATGGTCTGATTGGCAAATAACTGACCAATCAAATGTCAGGACGGGATACATTGTTGTCTCGCCCAACAAGATCTCTTTTTTGAGCATTGTTGTGGATATGGCTATTGGTTCTAATGTAACAATCGTGTCTATGTCTAATGATTATGTTTCGGTGTATTTAATTCCGTAGCACTAGATATGTTGTTTGTACAAGTAATTAATTTTAAATCTTAAATTATTCTTAAATTGTTAACCAACTAGTCGAGTGTTTTTGAAACTGTAAAATCTTAAAGTGTAGCTTTTTAAATGGTTTTAGCTAACCTTTGGTTCATAGAAATGCATTACATTTTTTTCATACCTTGGCCGTGAAAAAGGTAGCCTTTATATTAGATGACTTTAGATCCTAATTTGTTTATATATTTACTTTTGTGCTTTGATCATTTTATACTGCTTTTGGCCAGTTCTTAGGAAACACATTGTGTTTGTAACATAGTTAAATGTATATTTGAATTGAAAGGTAAACAATCCATAATTTGACCCTTGTGCTTACAAACAATTTTGTAAAAAGGACTTTGCAATCCATTACAATTTTAGGTATGCATTTGTATTTTTGAGTGTCAGAGTTTCCTTTTACATCTTTCACTATGAATTTTTTTTAAAATATTCAAAACACTTTCCGATTGGTTGATTTTATATAAATTTATTTTTTCTCAAATTCATTACCCGCACAAACAACACAGTCAATAATAAACGTAAAGTAAAAAATCAAATATAAATATCTACAAATCTCTGACTATAAACAATAACACATAAATAAATCACAAGGACCGCTATCGGTTCTATTTTATACATACACAAACTGTACAAATCTAATAATAATGAACGACGACTGTACAAGAAATCTGGTTTTAATAAATAACAAACACTTTGTATCAAATAAGCACTGAACATAAAAATAGTCGATCAAAGTTTATCATCGGCAATTAATTGCTATGAATTAATCTTTGTCCTTAATTTTTAAAGAACAGCAATAATTTTTCAAACTGCTTGGTAAATCTATGATTCTCCCCAGATTTGCTGAATCGTTGGTAATAAACCATTTACATTATCACAGTATATGATATTTTTTATTTATAGGAATGCAATTTTGGGGAAATTAATTTATTCCTTTCAACATGTTATAGCATAGCCACTTGTTGAATATTTTATTGTTTGAATTAAAACATGTGGTATTCATCACAGCACCTATATTCCTGATTACATAACTCAATAGTATTCTCATTGGAGAACATTAATGATAGCTAGGAAAGTTAAAAATACAAATTTTACATTTTAACATGATTTTAAGAAGCTTTTATGTTTGGTGCTGAATTTCCATTTTTTATGTTTGCACGAAACTACTATATTAATGGAAAATCTCTTAGTTAACGTTTCACAGTTTAACTTTAAAGCCACAATCAACATTCTTCAACAGACTCAAGTGAATCATGTATTCGTTGGAATTTTAGGATAAAAAATTAATTTATGTTATATTGATTTATGAATCAATAAGTTAGTTCAAACAGTTAATACTGATTTATAAAATAGGAGACCCAAACGTAATTCAACCCCTATTATCAAAAATCTATAATTATAATTACTTTATGAATCCTAAACGGAAAAAAAATTTGACTCGTATAAAAGGTTCAGACTGAAGGAACTAGAAAATTACTAAAACATAACTTAAACTTGGTGTCGAATTAAATGGCAAACAAAAAATTGGTTGAAACAATTTCCTTCCCACTAAAATTTAGGGTAAATGAGTGCTCTGGACTATAAATCGTTTTTACGTCACGCTTAGAGTTCCTCATCAAAATTAATTTACATTTCCACCAGAAACATGTTTATGTTCACTTTTCACAAACTTCTCTAGGAAGTCCAAAGTTCCAATATCACTGGAACTGCGAAGTCTCGTTCCACTTTCACAACTGTAATGGCGGCCCCGACGTCGGAACTGGATGTTGCTGGTGGTGCCCCGGTAGTGGTGACATTGATAGTTGCGTAGGGGATGGAAGCTGATGGTGCGTTGGACTTTGGAGTTGTGGAGGCTGAAACCCCGCTCCTAGGCTCAGAAGACTTTCTATGCTGAATGGGTTGAGTCTTCTAGCCTTATCGACGGTGGTAGAGCTCAGATCTAACGTGGGACCCCTGCAAGAAGAAGTGAAGATTAAATTTTAAATCTGTAAGTGTTCGTAATATTTTATTTTATCCCATTTTATGACCGGATTGAATAGAATAGGTTAATTAAAAAGAAACTGTTTCTGATGATCTTGTTTTCAAACGACTAAGGGTAGGCCTACATCCTAAAGATCCCGTTTCAAGCCGGATACGAAGTTTTAGAAACCCTCTTCCGTATACCCTAGAGTATCTACGGTATTACAGGTAAAACAACTTTTTATTGTATAACCTTGATCCAGAGGATACATTTTTTAGAATATCTATATATATATATAAAAGGCAAAGCCCTCACTGACTCACTAACTGACTGACTGACTCACTCACTCATCACTAATTCTCCCACTTCCCATTTACCTAGGAGGCTGAAATTTGGTACAATGATTCTTTAGGCATTAAATAGGAAAACTAAGTAGTTTTTATTCTGGTCGGACTCTCGGGCTCCGCCCCAGTGGCTCTGGAGTTTCCCATATTAACCTTATGATTTTTCATATTTAAAAAGAATACATTAATCTAAACAGCTGTTTCAATTAAACGAATTGGTTCTATCCTATGATGTTCAATAGCATTAAAGTTACAAGGATTACCAACAGGGTGCAGCACTATTATTTTTTAAATTCATGACAACAGCTAATTTGTAACCAAAAGGTTAGTGAGCGTAGCGAACGAACTTCAACCAGGACTTGATTGAGCCATGCGAATACTTATGAAGTTAAACGGGGCAAAGCCCGCGGGTACAGCTAGTTATTTATAAAATAATTATTGGCATTTATTTATGGTCATCAGATGTTAATAATACAACCTTGGCATACGCACAATCAATATGCACACAACAGCATACGTTTTGTCTCGTTTTGGTCAAATACACGTTTTAAAATGTGAATCGGCACTGCAGCGTTTTAAAATATCTAACTAGGCTACGATAATCCTAATACATATCAATTTCAAGCAGATTTTGAGGTTAGAAACGCAATAGTACTGGTTTAATGACGGTTTGTGTTGTTAAAAGAATAAATTACGAAAACCCTCAGTCCACAAACACCGCCACCCTTCCATTACCCAGTATCTCACTAGTTTTAAAAGTAAAACCCAAAAAACTGAAACGTAAGGTATAAGGTCCATTGCTAATATGGTACTCTAAGATATATGGGGGTGCCACTAAATGCCAGGTAAAATACATATGTTTAGGGGCACCCCCAAATTGCTAAGGGTATATATCCTTATCCTAATGTTGCAAGACCACCCAATGCACATTACTGATTATGATATATAACCATAAAATATTTGCCAAGCTATATAATTGACAATCGTACAAACCTGAACTCCTCCTCGTCGCCCACGACGTCAATCTCGATGTCGCGGGTGGTACTGGAGTTGCTGCAACAGGAGGAAGAATCTAGGTGACTCCCATCCACCCTGGGGCTATGGAGGTCCTTGCCTTTGCCTAGAAACAAGCGAGCCTTTGGTTAAAACGATGCCACAGAAAATTATTTGTCAATAGGGAAAACAACAAGTATACAAATTACCAAATAGTTCAACAGCGAAAACAATTTTGAATATGGGGTCAATCGTAAAAAAATGTTTTGTTTTATATGTAGTTTGGGTGTATAAGACATAAAGTGTTAAAATATTACTATTCAGGTGATGTGCTAAAATGTGATCAGTTTGGAAATAGTTATTTGTGCAACTAGTGAGAAAAGTGAGCAATTGACTCACTCGAGAGAAATCCTTACTCACGAGCCGTAGGCGAGTCAGGAATGGTTTCTCGAGTGAGGCAATTGTACTTTGAACTCGAGTTGCACATTATACTTTTCCTACAGTTACCATAAAACAAATAAATTGGTGAAGAAACATAACCTATTTTTACACAGAAGTGAACTTTTAATATAACATTTAATGTGAAGTGACAAATACAACAGTACAACAGCTGACCAGCTGATTTATAGCCAGTGCTGCCAACGTATTTCGCGCGCATACGACGTTGCCTGCATGTTACGCGCTCACTATTTCGTGCCTTCACGTTGCAAATCTGGAGTGAGACAAAGAAATTAGAGTGAGACAATGTTAACATTGTCTCACTGATGAGCGAATTGGCCACTTTGCTTTCTCAAATCAGTGAGAGAACATGTACATTGTTAGGTAACTGTAGGAAAACGTATTTTGTTATTTTTAAATCTTTACAAATATTTTTGTAAATTGCAACTGGGAGAATTGTATCATAAGTGTTTGCGTGTGTAAGTAAATGATTGTACCTACATATCATCAAATGGATCTTCAATCATGAGTAGGCCTATAGCGGTTATACATCTACATACTTTTAATTGTTGGTTTTTCGTCAAATAAATATATATTGCTGTTGATTTCTAAAGCTCACAGGTATTCCGTTACTATTTAACACAAGTTAAACAACTAATACCTTTATTTAATATGCACGAATATTTGAGCAGAAAAGTAGTTGCACCGCAAAACGATGCCGCAACCTTTAACCGTTCCTGCAAACAGTTGCAAGAGTAACTGAAATCTCAAAATGGAGCAGTGACTGTTAAACTGTAAAGATTTGCTCCTTGGAAGCCACCACTCTATCCTTGGCTATTGCATAAACTTTTAGTTACAGTATTTGCGCAACGTATAAGTTGCTAAAATAACAGTTATTTATAACAGTTCCAGTAACCAGTTACTCACCAGAAGCCTGTTGCGCTTCCCATTCTCTCCTGAGCGTTTCCAGGTCCACATTGACTCCCTTGGCAGCCAGTTTCCGCTGCTGCCGCTCCAGACTCTTCAGCAGTTTCTTCTGCCGCCTTTCTATCTCCTTTCTTCTCAGTTCCTCGGCCGGAATAGGTTCCCCGCTACACGTTACAGGGTGAGCGTTATGCGCTGGTCTGCCCGGGCCCTTCTTCGTGTGCTCCTTCTTCCTCCATTTCGCCCGTCGATTTTGGAACCACACCTGAAACATTTATGATTAAGAACAAATTATCGTTACTGTATCGTTAAGTATTCAAGTGAAATTCGAGTTGAATAGAAATTACTGATTGAGTTGTATAGTAGAACTTAAGTAGTTATTGAGGTAAAAAATATTAATATCTTGATCTTAAGTTGATTTGAGTTTACGGAGTTAGGGTTTATTAGAATAATAAATTCTGGTTAGTTGATCCCTTAATACAGTCCAATATTTCAAAAGGGTTTCGATTTCATAGCCTTGACTTTGATGACTTTGATTTCAAAATTTCCCTAAAGGAAACCAAGCATTGTCTTTTGACAATTTTTACATCAATGGACTTTATAAGAGAGAATGTTTTGCTTTTTGAATACTTATGTTTGAATTAGCAGGACTTAACAGCAGCTATGCAGTATTCTATATCTTGTGTCAAAAAAGACTAGGAATAATTTCAGCCCATGATTCGCAAACTGTTGTTCACATAAGGCTTAAATTATGAAGTTCAAATCAAACTTTATCTAGGTAATAACCCGATTGACAGACGACGAATGTAAGGGGACAAACACTACGACCAAATTAAATTAAGTGTCACGATCCCTAAAATCTTTTCAGCAAGATAAGATTCCTAAATGTCTGTTTCAACGTTTGACTTACTGATATTGCGGGGGGGAAATCGCAAAAATATCATCCCCTAGGCATTATTTACGGCAAACAACGATGTATTTATTACAAAGATCTCATTTACTTTCAATAACTTCTAATTCTTTCGAAACGCCTACTAAGTTCCTAAGTCTAGATCCGTTCTAGGGTCAAACATTACTGACATATCGTGTATAACTTAATCTACGCTTCAAACATCAATTAACCTTGACAGCCTGGGGCAAAAAAAACTGAACAGGTGTACCAAACAATCAGCGCGTTGGCAATAGAGACGCCGACATATACACTCCGTCATATATAACTGATCATATCGCTATGATCGGCGATAAGGCGAGCTGCATGTATATGTAACACCTCGAGTCAGTAATCGGAGCAGATTTATGTCATCATAAACACCTTGGACGCCATTGCTGCAAGGATGGGAGGGGAAAGGCACCGCCTGCTGCTATAGGAAGGGGGTTTCTTAAGGTATACGGCTTTAGATATTATTCCTTTAAAGTCTTTGGATTTTAAATTAGGGATAGCAAGGGGTTGAGATTTTTCATTGTGTGTTGTCAAATGTGTGTTTATGTGAACGAAGTTTTTTTTTCAATTTTACAGAATACTTGATTTTTATGGTTTAATTAATTGACTAGAGTATAAATCGGCCAGCCTGAACATTGACTTTGGATGCTATGAGAACTTTTCTTATCCATATTTGAAGCTAGTTTTTACATGTCTTTGATGTTCTACAATGTTTGATTTATTGTTGTTTTCTTTAAATTTTGAGTTTCAAGTTTTACGTTGTGCACTAAAATTTTTTATTACAATATAATTCTTCTTGATCCTACACGTTATTAAGTTAAAGAAATCGCCTACAAATAAAGAGTACATCAATGCACTACGGACATCGGGATATGAACATTCATTGAAACTGTTCTGTTAACCTATAGTACATTAGTGTTAAGAAAGTGTATTTGATTTGTGATCTCAATCACAATATAGTGCCCATGTTTTCTAAAATATAATTGATAAGTATATAACTGACGAATGTTAGAATCGATCTATCAAAAGACAGTATATAACAACAGATAATTAGTTATGTAACATTTTGAAATTTTTTTACATTCACAATTAATCGTACCCTACCAAAAATTTGGTTGAAAAAACTAATTTGAAAATTAACTTATTTTGAAACCCTTTTTTATTTACATAATCTATTAAACTCGGAAAACTATGGGACATGGCACAAATATTTCTTAAGAACTGTCACATGTAGAAATACCCACGTAGCAAATCGGCCCTGAGCACATTGCAACAGCACATTCTGTAGTTACCAGCTTTACCCAAACATTAACCTACCAAAACCCACATACCTTCCCATCTATGACGCCCTCAGGCCGTCACGCCGACCGACATTTAACACGACAAATGGATACGATATTTTTGCGTTAATGGGTACGATATTTTCGCGCGCCGCCAGATTAGATGGCAGCACTGCGCGATAAGTGGGATAATTTGTTTGCGCCCCGCCAGGCCGCGCATCGATCACTTTATTAGACATAACCTCACTTTCGCGGCCGATCGCTTGATTTTAACCCGCCTTGATTGTAGATAATGGCGGCCATTAAGGTAATGTCTTTATAGTTTCCCTGGTTAAGTTAAACTGTCTGGTGGATTTATTAAGCGGTGTTTTGACGCTAATTTATTTGTTGCTGTTACTTACAGCTATACTGCGGTTCAGAAGTGGTGTATTTCCTTTGTTGTAAATTTCGTTTTTGATTACTTAATTAATTCTCAGTGACTGTTGCATTGACAAGAGGTGATGGACTAGAATTACATAATTGTGACAGACGAATTGGGTTTATTACTGCAGTGACCTTTTGTGTTGTATAAGACTACCGGTAGTTTAAGTTTCCAAGGGAAAATGAGGTGCCTACTATTGGATGCTATGGACAAGTGTATGAAAGTTTTTAGAAAAATAATACGGTAATTAAATTTCCAATATCAAGTATAAACATTAAAAGGATATATACTTACTAAACGAAAGAGTGTGTGAAGTTTGTAATCCGTTTATTTCGCTAGTTCAAAGTCTATTAGGCAATTTATAGACAAACAGGACTATGGGGGATGGAAGTGAAGTTGCAGCTGTGGAAAAGTATCATTTTATTATTTTTTCCAAATATTTGCTTTATTTCAATTGTTCCTAATGCATGATACAACATTACATTCTCATTTTCTAAGCAACATGGTTTTAATTACACAACATGGTTGTAATTCAAATCTCTTAAATTCGTATGACTTGTCTATTTTCATCTGTAAATTTTCTTTACCTATTTCATATCTTTTACATTAATTGGAACTCATAAAATAAGTTGATTCACAATTCTTAATCACAAGAGAAAATGTTGCATTTTAATGAATATCATTAAGTATTTCTTCATAGAGTAAAAACGAAGTGCCTTCATACGGTTTACAACCACATTAAAATACTTTTTGCAAATAAAATCACAATTGCTTCGACCTTATTTACCTCAAAGCCATTTCGGCGTTCCACAAAGCCGCAGACTCGAGCCGCTTTTTTCTCGTTAGTTAATTTTTTGCCTCGCGAAGCCCATCAATTAGTACTGAAGGTGTCGGGTTGATCTATGGCTTGAGCCCGCGGATGCACACCTGCTTTTGAGGGGGCCGGAGGGGGGTTGTTTTGATTTTATGGGCTGTTAAATCTACCACGAGTACTTAACCCGGTGAAGGATGAGGGATATTTCTGCCATTAGAGCAGTGGATGTCTTACTCTGGTATGCGTTAGATTCAAGAAGTTTGAAAGGTTAAAAGTTCGCTGGCCTTATAATTATATACGGTAGCGGAGATTGTTGTAATCGTTCGAAACGAAATAATGATAAAATTTTGTATGATAAATACAACCATAGCATGAATGTTATATTGTATTAAGGTCTGAAATGTAGAGAACGTTTTTGCGCAAATTTTTTTATTTTTTCCTTTTTTTATCCAATTCCAAATATGTAGTTATGGTAAAGATCTGTCTACAACAATTATGCGAAAAATAATGGTAATTTGTAAACTTGGTGATTTGTAACTTTGGCAATATGGAGGTAATTTGTGGTAAGCGAGCTTGAAAATGGATGGAATTTTTGTCGAAAAATAATAGCTACAGTATTGCATAATATAATAAATGCACATAATATAGATAATATGGCACCACAGATTTATAAAGGTACAGTATAACTATTTACAATTACGTTAAATACATTGAGCTTCCGTAACAAATAATGGGATGTTTGCTAACACTCTAAAGTTACCTCTTGTGTATATAGTGAATAATACATAGACCTTGTACTAAGGTCGAACAAAATACGTTAATAATTCGTTTTATGCTCGAAAATCCTTACTTCCCACTGATAAGTTAGACCTAGACCAAATAGTTTTTTCGTGTGACCTGAATGCTACAATTTAATAAAATTCTAATTCAAACGTGCAAATAAAAGAGAAAATTCTGAAAATATAAAATTAATCTATTTATACAACCAAACACATTTCTTTGTTAGTAGTTACATTTTATTTATCTGAGTAGACCTGATGGAGTTAATTGGTATGCATTGAAAAGGATTAAATAAATCAACAAAAAATGATTTGGTTGGTAAATGACCGTTGAATTAGTTAAACAATCCTTAGAATTTGGTGATTTAATTTTCTTTATTTTTGATATTTTGAAAACTTGAGGTTTAGGTTGTAACATACAATTGTTGGCTAATGCAGCGTTTTTTAGGATATAAAAACACAATGCGGTTGTATTTTTAGCTATACATTAAGTAATGAATCCAACCAAATTGTAAGTTATCCTGTCTAGTTATCCTATCAAAGTTAAGGAGTTAGAAATAAGTAAAATAAGTTTTTTACAATGTGTTACAACTAGGGTAGGTAATCTAAAGTAATAATGGCTAATCTCCTCTAAAGTAAATTATTAATCATTGGTTTATGTTTATACAAAAATAATTTCCATAAATAAAAATGACTGTAACAAACCAAATTTATTATACACCAGCAACCATATAACGCTGTTTCACATTCAGTTTTGCACAGTTGGCAACCCGTTGTTTTCCCGCCGGCGGGAAGCTGAGTATCGATTAAGACGGCAATGATTAAATAAACCAAGAGCCAGATGGAGCGTCTCAAGGGGGCCATTTTGACCCCCTCCCCCCATCTCTAGGGGGCCACTACCCTCTGTTTCACTTTGTTCAGATTTACCACCCCGTCCCTTCCCCTAAACCTCATGTTCTGGTTTGTTGCTCTGTAATATTGGATCCGGGGTGAAGCTGCGGTTTTGTACAGCTCTTTACCGGATTTTACGGCCGTGTTTGGGGTTGTTTTGGGGTGTTTGGTGTTCGGGGTGAATTATCGCTTGCGCTGCGGGCGTGATTTTATTTTTATATATATCAGACGGTATGATATACTTACGCTGTGGGGATTGAGAATATAATTTAGGTTTGTCATCGTGTGTTGGTAAAACAAACTAAATCGAAATTTTATTATTTTTAAGTATTTTAACTTTTATAACATCGAAACATTCCTTCGACCTGGTTATACTTACTAAGTGTTAGCAACAGTATTTTGTCCAATAAAAGTTGGTGAGCAAATTTTATATATTTATTAAAATTTATGTTTATTTAATCTTGAAAGTTTATTGTTTTAAATGGACAGTTTTAGGTTAGACACCTAATAGGAGGAATATTAAACAAATGAAGATACAGCAAAGTGTAACTTAGATAATATCATCTCTAAAAACATTTCTTCACTTTCGTGAAAAAAGATTTTTACAACCACCCAGATTAGGATTTTATCCAAACAGCTGTCACGTTAGTTTCATTGAGAGAGATAAGCGACGGATTGACACAAATTATTGATTGCCCGAATACCTATTTCAATATATTCATTGTTAAAGTAGTACTCATATTTTTAGCAATAAAGTAATTAGTAAACAATATTTTTTCATCACAATTATGAATTTGTACAACAGTTGCAACTGTAAAGCGATTGGAACGAAATTTTCCAAATAATAGGTATGTATTATAACATTTTTGCAGACTTACCGCAACTCTTGACTCCTTCAGGTCTAGTCGTAACGCTAGAGCCTCCCTCATAAAGACATCAGGGTAGTGACTCGCAAGAAACGCGCGTTCCAGCTCCTCCAACTGCCAAGAGTTGAAGTTGGTTCTGGAGCGTCGTCTCTTGCTGGATGACAAGTCCTCGTTACTGCCCAGCTCACCATCTGTAACAGATTACTGAAATGTAACAGTTGTAATAGCATCAAGGTAGTGACTCGCGAGAAAGGCGCGCTCCAGCTCCTCCAACTGCCAGGAGTTGAAGTTGGTTCTGGAGCGTCTTCTGTTGCTGGATGACAAGTCTTCGTTACTGCCGAGCTTACTATCTGTAACAGGTTACTGAAATATAACAGTCGTAATACCATCACGGAAGTGACTGAGAAATGCACGTTCCAGTACTCCAACTCCTGCTGGATGAAAAATCCTCGATACTGCACAGTGCACCGCTCACCACACCAATTTGTAACATGTTACTGAAATGTAACAGTTGTAAATAAAATTAGGGTGGCTTGAATTGCGGGAAACGTTGTTCTGGTCATCGATTTACCAGGAGCTTACACTTGGTCCTGAAGAGTACAACCATGGATTAAAGAATGTACAAGTATTAGAGATATACGTGTACAAGTGCAGTACTTAAAGAAAAGGTCTACGAACCACTCTTAAATCCATGGTACAGCTTATAAAAATGCACTTACACTGAAATGTAACAGTTATAGGAATAGCGTTACAGACATTTAACTGTTGTGTGAATAACAGTTTTTTACAGATTCTTTGTCGACTTGAAAAATGAGAACAGGAGAGATCATACTAATCACCATCACTATTTCGAAAATGTGCAAACATCCGTTCATCTAGGTAGGTAGCAAGTTTTCTGTTTAAGAATATACAGTAAATATTCGAATATCGAACCTTAAACCGCCTTCTCCCATATATTTAAAATATATGAATAAATTAATTTATGTATATTATTCTGTAATTGTAAAAACTAGCTAAACTTAGCTCCCTATACATTTGTAAATACCATGTGTAAGCTCACCAAATATTGTTGTTTTAGAAATACATAATTTAAAAGCTACAGAAAAATCTATTTTGCCTGATTTTTGCAACATGCTTTTGTGTGATATATAAAACGTGGCTTTGAGAAATAAAAGAAAATTGAGTACTGTAAACGCAGTAGTAAAATACTTATGCCTAATTTACAAACGTAAAAGGCTTTATAAGTTCCAACTAGAGTATGCGAAGAACTATTACAATAATTCCTTTACCAACACATTATGATAGATATCTTCAATTTGTCAAACCAGACCTGATTAATTCTATAACCAATCTGTATCAATACTGTTATGATACGCTATCACACCATGTATCGGAACCGGTTATTATTCAACCCCCTCCAATATAAAGGAGTGTTTCAATTCTAATTAACTTTTGTTCTGAACGCCGCCCCGTGATTTCAATAGGTTAGTATCGGTTGATTTATTATTATTAGTTGGCTTATTGTTTTGGAAGCGATGGCGAAATGATTATCAGTGTCCCAAACTGGGAATTTGGAACATTATTTAGTCTGGCATGTGTGAAATGAAAATCTACCAACAATTGTAGAGTTAAGCTATAAATTAAATTTATAGAAATCCATATTTTCAGTTTTAGAAGGCTCAATGTTTTAAAATGCAACACGAAAATAACATGGATACAATATGGATTTGAGTTTTTTGTAACACATTATAGCAAAAGTAGGCTAAATTAAGTATGTGTGCAAAACTCTTTTCAGTGCAATTGACAAAATGTTGAATACGTGATCATTTTCATTTTATGGTTTGGTTATGCACAATTATCTCACTTAAGAAGTATGAAGTGTTATTATTCTGTACCATCAAATGCAGTCGCAGGTTCCCACTTGAAGTATCTCTTAGCTTTAATTAAACATGTTCTAATCATAACTTAGACACATAAAATAAGGCATGGGACACTTTTAACATGATACATGTTGAGCTGATATTTCAGTCTCGTTGCAGATTGTCAGGCCATCTTGAAGATGCTATGTATACTGTAGTTGAATATTAGTTCCATTTATAAGAGTATACATACAAGTTGACAATATTATTCCAAAGGAAAACAGAGTGTAAAAATTCCCATTAAAATGTTGTACCAAACCCGTCAAAACATTTTAATTAAATCCCCAACGCGATAATCTGTAAAGATATACCGACCACGGTTGACCACAATACCACAAAAGTCTCTAATTAAATCTCCAATTAAAAACTTCCATAAACATAAGCGAAGTTATCTCTTCAAATTTAACCGCGCATAACTTTGGACGTCGCAAATGGAGAAATCAAAAAGCACCGTAAACAAGCCTCACATTTCACAGGGATAAATAGTTTTAATTAAAAGTGATATGTTTATGACTGATTGCGACGGTGCTGCTGCCTGGCCGAGCGGCTGGGCGGAGAACTACCGGTGCGGTTAATTCCCCCATTAGGTAACCAATTAGTGAAGAAAGTGGCCGCTACCAGCTACCAGCGCTAGTTACGCGAATGATTAAATTAACCTGGCTGGCTTCTTTGATAAATGGACGGGGCTAATGAGAAAGATGTAAGGAATGGGCGGTTTAATCGATAGGACTAATTAGCTTCGGTGCAATTTCAAGGGTCATTTTAGAGGTTAGGTTTCGCGTGGGAACGATTTGTTGCAAGTCGGGTTTAGGTTAGGTTGCATTTGTTATGCTTTTTGTAGGCCATGGTAGAAAATGCTAAAACAGAGTTACCTTGTAATCTAGTATACTGTATTTGATTATGTATTTTTAATAATATTTTTTAAGTAAGGTTCTAGCATGGATGCTACCTTACTCTCTAGCCTTTAGTGTAAGAGAAACGAGGGTAATTCCCATTACATCGAAAATAAATTAAGTGGTGGTGTTTAAACTTATCCTTTAAAAGGGTTTTTAATACCCTTTTTCTCAATGTATGTTCACTGGATGCTGACAAATTTTTTAATTAAAAGTAACTTAACTGTTTTGGAGGGATTATAAAATTTCAAAGCATAACATTTTTCAACCATTAGGCACTTAGTTTAAGTAGCTTTGTAGAAAAGTACTCTTGTCCTATGCAAAGGACAGTCCATCAGTATTCGAAAGTAGCAAGTTTTTTTACAGCCTTGAATGATGAATTTATTATTACTGCCTTAAATTTAATTAATTGCGTGCTTATACAAATAATCAAATGCAACGAAAATTTGTAAATAATAAACGTTCACCAACCAAAATTCATTAAGCAGTCCAAAATCCAAAATAATACATCCCTTAAGCTGCAGACAAACCCCCACTAACTAGTTTACCCTCAATGCTGACCGGGAAAAGGCAAAGGCTATTACCAGTTTATATTGGATGTGTCGAAATAATTGGTGTTGTATGGGCTTATCGGGTGCTCACCCCTAATGTTGGGGGAAGGGGCGCATCTATCAAAAGGCACCCAAGGGGAGGGATGTATAATAGGCTTATCAAGTCCGCACTTGTCCTAGGGTGTTTGGTTTGTCCCGACGCTAGTGAGCTGAAAGTATTCAATGAGATTAAATATTATCCGTTTAACTTGGAGTTTTATTGAAATAAACGGTCCTAATACAGATCCTAGGGGGACTCCAACTATTCATTTTTTGTCGTGGAAGATAATCTAGAACACACTTGTCCTATGGTGTTTATTTTGTCCTTACGACAGGGGACTGAAAGTATTCAATTAGATTACACATTAGCCATTTAACCCAAAATTATTTCTTTGAAATAAAAGTGGCCTAGAATAGATCCTTGTGGGACTCCTATTCTATATTCGAAAGTGGATTGTCTAATTGTGCAACGTGCTTACCCTTATGAAATTTAAGTGTTAAACTGACTTCTCATAGAGCAAGTTGACTTATTATTGAGTTGAGGCCTTTTTGATGTGTGCTGTTTGCTTGAGTGTTAAAATACCAAATAATTTTTTCTGTGATATTTTAGGTTTTACAACTTGTACTATTTTGTTTGTAACTAAACAGAGGACACCTTACTTAAGTTAAAAATATTAACATTTCTTAACAATTAACGTATACGAAATTCACCTACTAACAGATATAACATCAGAAGTAGGTTTATTATTCATTTTTGTGTTATTCTGTTTTGTGATACCTTTTATGATAATATTATTGCAATATCATTTTTATGGCTTGTTTTAAATTTAAATCCTCCTTCTATTACTAAAAAAAATTTCCGTGTTGTTTATATTATTCCTACAATACTTAAGATCAAAATGATAAACGTAAATTTTAAGATAATTCATAATTTTAAATTTGAGATAGATTTGAATAGGTAGCTGATTTAATAAACTTTTATAATACTAACAATAATTCAACCAACTGTTTGTGACATATTATACCTATTTTAAATCATGTATACGAGTCACTGATTTCAATTATAAATTTGTCCTGGCTTCATATCATTAAACCTTTCACTTCACTTGTTCACTTTGTCCAACCGAGCAGAAACTAAAACCGCACCCAGTTATTGAGGCAATGCAGCGATGCAAGGTATTTACTTACTCTGTGATTACCTAGTTATGTGATTACTCTATGTCATTACTTCGGCTTATTACTCTGTGCACGTGTTGGCAGTAATGAAAACAGCCAACCTTTCACGAGATCGTGGCCGCCCCGGCATTGAAACAGTCATTACTCTGTGTGTTAAAGCTTCGGGCCCTTTCGGAAATGATCGTTCTCACTCGGGTGTGTCCGGAGGTGTTCGGGATTCTTCGACCCACCGCTAGTCATCCTCGATACATTAATAACAAGAGAATAGGCTGATAATTAGGATCGGTGAACGGTTGGATAGATTAGATTTTCTACGGTCAAATGTGATTAGAAACGAGGTTCCCATGACCCTTGAATTGTCATTCCAATGATAGGTACTCATTGGAACGTGAAACTGTCTTACGTATTTAGATAATTAGGTATTAGATAATTTGTTCACAATGAAAGTCGCAATTACAAAAATCAGCAAAGGAGAATGATATGGATTTTGTTAAGTAAAAAAAAAACATAATTTCCTTTAATTTTATTGCTTCAAAATTCATAAAACGAAAAAAAAACATAAGGAGGAGTAGTCAATTACACTTTTTTGTAGAAAGTATGGTTTTATTCCAAT